ACCTCTCAATTCATAAACAAGGCTGTGATATACTTCTTTAAAGGAGTATCATGAAGCTGTGGACAGCTACCCTGCAACCAAATGTCTCTGAACACCTTTATCAGTGACTCATCCCAAAATGGGGATGTTCTCTCACCACCATACCTACTTAGATCAGAAAAAAACATTTCCTTTGCCCTGATAACAGAGGAAGGAGAAATAATTAGTCTGAATTTCAGATGCTGAACAAGGGCAATGGATTTCTCCCAGGGGTGTCTGTGTTCGTGCTGGAATTACAACACAGAGAGCTGGGAAGTGACTGCCTGGAGAGCAAAATTATTCTGAATTATTGAATCAGGAAAAACAGGAAGGAAAAGGTATCCATAAGAAATCACCTAGTCCATCCCTTGTCTTTATGCAAGGCCAACTATCCCAATGCCATTCCCAAATGATACCTCATTCATACCTGCAGGCTTAAATATTCCCCTGTCTTTCACAGGTAATGCCTCCCAGTGCCATCCTCATTATTAGGATGTTTTCCAGGGGCTTTGGTGGTTCCTTCTTGATGCCGTTTAAACCTTTGGTTATTTCTACTGCTCTGGGTGCCTCTGACAGTTCCTAGTATTGCAGTGACCAAACCAGATGTAGCACTGCAGCTCAAACCTTCTGCTGAAGGCAGCCTGAGCTCTTGCACTATAATTGCATTTTTTTTGGCAATGGCAGAATATTGTAAACTGATTTCAGCTCGTGACTCCCTAGCTTCACCACAGAAGTGCCACTTAAACCTCCTGTTCCCCATTCTAAATATGAGCTGTTGATTATTCCTGATGAAGTGTGGCACCTTGTTCTCATTTTGATAAAATTTTATTCTGTTTTTAGACTTTTCTTTCCAATTTGTCTGTCTGATTTAAAATTCTAGTCCTCTCCCCCCAGCACTGCAGTAACCTCCAGGCTGATGTTACATCTTGAATAACCACTTTGCTTGTCCATTATCCAGCTGACTAATGAAATGTTGAATAACTCTTGAACTAAGTGGGTCTTTGCAGACCTGGTGTGATATATCTTTCTGTGGTGACAGTGACCCATTGCTAACTCTCAGCAGTGCCCCAGATGGTTTTGCTGGTGGTGGAGCAGTCCCTTTAGTTTGCTTCTGGCAATTCTGTGTGACGTAGCAGTAGAGATCTCCCTCAAGTTGATTAAATTTGGCTTTCTCTATCTCTAAGGCCTGTTAGCCTGTCACAGAAGGATACCAGACCAGTTTGACTTGATGCTTGACAAACACATCTTCCCCAAAATTCCAGTTCTTGTTTTTCACATACTTACAAACTGTTGGTGGGACTACTACTTCTAAAACATCCTCAGGGATGGACAGGTTTGTGTTTCATCTTCCAGTTTCTGTTCCTCCTTTTAAGACAGTCACTGCACTTACCCTTTTCCATGGCTGGTATAACTCACATCTTCCCTGAGCTCTCAGCAATAATTGCTCATGGTGGTTGTTTTACATTCTTCTTTAAATGTCCTGAGGTGGGTCTGGTGATAGCCCAGAGTGAAAAAGAGAGGTCCAGGCAGACCAAAACCCAGATAAGAAAGAACCTATCACAAACTTACAAACATCTGTAGAAAATTAAATTTCTGCTAAATGTTCTTACCTGGAACACCTCACTGTTGTTAGTTGTGTTAGCCTCCTGCTCACTAGTTCACCTTATTTTGGTTGGTAGATAAAGCAAATGCTTAGCCCTGTATCAATTTCTAGGCTTCAACTTGATTAATCTTCCCCTTCTGCCGAACAGAGAACAAACTCTTTTCTTGGGTTTTGTCTTCCTTATTTTACTCCCCTTGTGTTTAAAGGATGCTTTCTTGCTGTTCTTCGTGTTTCACACTATTTGTATCTTGTTTTGTGTCTCGGCCTTCCTGGAGTTATGCCTTGTATTCTCTTGCCACTCTGTTTTTCAAGTAATGACAACCAGACATAGATTCTTCTGACCCTGTGCCTACTTCTTTTGAGTCCAACAAAGGGCTTATGGCCATGTTAGCCGGCAGTGATTTAGCACTTCATATTAGACTGGAATTAATCACTATTTTCCATGTGTAGCCATGACTATAATAATGGAGTTAGTTCTAAAATCGGAACCTTTTCCAGCATCTTGCTTTTATGCACACATGTTCAACTCAGGCCTCTAATGTTAGTGATTTTAACTAGATAGATACATTTTCTCCTACTGCTTCAAAGGTGTAACTTTCAATACCTGTAGCACTTAGGCATCAATAAGAGATCTTCCAAGGAAGCTACCAGATATCCATCCTCGCTAATCATCTTCCCTTTAAATGTCTGATGTTTCTGATTATTTTGGAGGAAACACTTTTTTTGTTAGTAAACAATTATTAGGTGTGTATTCTCTGTAGAAAATGAAAATTAGGTATAAATATTTCGGACAGCCCTTTGGGATTCACTGTGATATTCTTCAGACACTCAATGGACTTCTGTGAATCTCTTGGAATTTTCTTATCCTCAAAAGTAAATTTAGTTCTGGTATCCCTTAGTCATGGTGGTTGGCAATAGTGAATGTAACAGCAAAGGAAGTCATTCAAGTGCTTTCATGCTTCTTTCTTCTTCAGCTTTGCTGGAGGTGAGAGAATAACACAGATTTCTGGGACTTTTTCCATGCAGACTGGCTCCTGTTCCCTGTGAATTGAGAACCACACCTTGGGCCACATGGTTCTGTTAGCAGGAGGAGTTGGGAATTTTCTTCACATTTCTTAAAGACCGTGGCACAAAAACTGGCCAGAATCTGTAAGTGCAATGTCTGACTGTTTTACGTCGGCACTGGAAAATTAAAAAAAAAAAGGGCATTATTTTCAGTCTGGGACACCAAAATAACACCTTGCATCCCATTAGGTGGTGGATACAGAATGTTCTACTGCAGATCCCCCCCACTGTCACAGGTGGGAGTGGGTTCAGTGGTGCCATACAGTCTGGATGGCAGCGGCCCAACTCAGCAAGGAATCCTTCTGTGGTGCTATTACAGGATTAAGTCTGGATAGTGGGGTGTTGAGCAATCAGAAACCAAGACAAACGCAGTCCAACCTCTCACAGAGGAGCTCTGTTGAATGCATGGACAGCTATGCAAAACTTTGCAGTGATATATAGACCATAATGACAAGATATCACCAAACCACATGCAGAAATTCTTGTGCAGTCTTGTCATCCTGAGAATGATATATTTCAGGACCTTCATCTTTATCCCAAATTTTCCCAGGTTCTTCTCTCTGATCCCCTTTTATATTTTCAGCAGTTGTTTAAGTGAGTGACACCTCACTTCTGTGGTTACCCTTCCTCCCTGAGATGTCCAGTTCCTTTCCTTACCTCACTGTGGGTTGTTCTGCTTGTTCTACCTACTTACTGAAAAGACCAAGCAATCACAACAACTATAAAAAATAGTTACAAAGAAAATACTATACTGATATCTTGAAAAAACAGTGCTTTCTACCCTCTCAAAGGTTATTGCATCTGTAGGCAATTCCTTTCTGTCCTTTTCTTGAAGCTCACGTACGAAAAGCAGGTTGTAGCCATGGGACCATAAATGAGGGCATGGGCAAGAAACACATATGCAGGGGTGAATGGAAGTGTAAAGTTTGGATTTTGTGCCAGAATTTCCATTTGGTGTTATTTAAAACTGCAGATCAGGGATAGACTATGTGACCAGCCCTAGATGGGTGTATAGACAAGCTGTACGATGTTGTTTGTTTATATCCCGGCTCTTATGGAGCTGCTCCTTTAATGGGCATCTGAGGCCTGTGAAGAGACAAACAACATAAAGCTGGGCCATCTCAACCTCACTTCTGGCATCCAGCTTCACAGCTTGGACTGGGAGTGTCAGCTTCTTACAAAGCCAGTGGAGACATTTTGGTACTCAGGTGTGCCCTGACTCAACTTATGAAGACCCCATTGACTGAGACCTTCATCTGGACCTTCCACGCAAGGAAATTTGAGTTTCAGTTGCTCTGTGGGCTGAAAATCTGACAGTGTGTCATTCCTGTAAGGATTGCTTCCACAACTCTTGGCTGCCCCCTGCCAAGTCCTCTCTTGCATGCGCAAGGAAAGTGCCAGAAAGTCCTTTGAGATGACTTATAAACTAACCTGGTCCAAAAGCACAAGCATTGAAGGGAGAGCTGTAAGAGGTAATTCTGAAGAAGCCACAGGAACAAGTAAAATAGAAGCAGAGTACATTGCTGGTGACAGTCCCTACAGAGGAGATGGAGTGTCCTCCCGTGAGAGAATGACAAAGCCATGAATTGAAAAGATACATCGCAAGATGAGTCTTTAACCACTCTCTGGGGCAAGCAGATAAGTATTAGAGCACCTCTTTCTCTTTTTTGAAAGGTATCACCTCCTCTTTCTGAGCACTTGTTTTCAGCCAGCTGCTTACACAGATCCCCTGTCCAGGGGGGCTCATGCTTAAGCTTCGACAGGACACAGCCTATTAGCAGAATCCCAGATCAGGAGCTGAGTTAAAAGCAAACATTCCTGAATTTTTGCAGTGCATGGGTTTTGGCTGGGCTGTTATCGTGGTTGCCTAGTGTGATGCAGGATCCATATTCACGGTTGGTCCGTGTGCCAGGGATGCTGTTGTCCACAAGGCTTCCTTTTCAGTGTAGTTAAAGCCCACAGTGGATTCTTCCCCACTGTGCAGGGCACCATCAGCTGGCCCTGCAACGTCATTTTCCCAAGAAAATTTTTGCATTTTCATCTCATTTGAAACCTCCCAGAACGAAATCTCACTTTAAGTGAGTTACAGCTAAAGCGAGGGATGGGAGCTGCATATTTCAGCATAGTCCCTTAGGCGATAAAAGCAACAAACACAAAAATTGCCCAAGACCCTTTTATTTGGGTGCCAGCAGCCAGTTTTCACCAAGGAGAAGGCATGGCCTTTGAGGGGCAGAGGCAGAGCAGGAGTACAGCAGTGACCATCCACCGCATTGTGTTCCCTTTAAATCTTCTCCTCCACTTGGCAGCTCCAGTTTTTCAGTGTTGCTATAGCAAATCTCCATGGCAATGACCCTAATCAGGGAAGGGGGGATGCTAAGGGAACGCATGCTCAGAGTGGCTGCTGGAGCCTCTCCTGCCCACTACAGCTGCTCCAAGGCTCTGGCACACGGGCGAAGGGAAGGATCAGGTACTGGGCAAACTGGTCCTCGGGGTGCATCGCAAGCCCGTGGGGTGTCACTGCAGTGATGTGTGTGTGTGTGTTTGTGCGTGCGTGGGGTCTGTTCTTGTCATGTCTCATCCACTTCTTTGCGAGGAGCGTGCTGGGAGCAAACTGCCGATTTTCAGTGTTCCTCCTTGTTTCAGGCAGGGAAGACAAGCCTGAATTATTGATGGAAGCAATGGCGTTGCCGTCTGTCTGGAGTGCGGTGCGTGTGGCGATCCTGTCCCTCTCGGTGGTCGGCCTGCTGGGCGTGAGGCTTGTGGGGGCTGGCCAGGACTCCGGGAGTGTCATTCCTGCAGAAAGTAGGTACCCGCCGTGCCCGCTCCTGCCCTCCCGCCGCACCCCGTCCCGCTCCCCTTCCTTCACTTCACCCCCAGCACCCACACAGACACTGAGTGAGCTCCAGGGGAACTTCGCCTCTCCAAAATTCCAGGGAGTAACAATGAGTTTGTGCCATGCCAGCAAAGCACATGGAGACAACGCTTGTAGAAACAGCAAAGCAAGCAAGGAAAGGACTAGTAGTTATTTAGGAAAAAATACTAAGTGCATACTATAATTTTTACTGGGACCTGTGTTGGAGCTCTTTGCAGGTCTTTTAGATCTGCTTCTTGAGAGTTTCGGTTCCAGGTTTGCCACAATACATATGACGTCCTTGCTAGTGTGGATATTGCTAGAAGAAAATTTGTTTATTTGTTTATTCCTCCTAGGGCCTTGCATTTTGCTTATTTTAGTATTTGATTGGAACAATGGGTTAACTTTCTTGTGACTGCTACAGACTGAAACAGGGGACATTTACCCAAACAGTGCATTTGTAAAGCATGTTTGCAGGATTTCAAAATACTGCAAACCTAATAAATAAATAAATAAATAAATATGACAGACTGGCTCGAGCACACCATGGAGCTGGGAGCTCTTGAATTTGGATCACAGCTCTATGTTAGCTTCCTCTGCAATTTTGAGTAAGTGTCTATTTAAACTTTGTCCGCCCCAAAATGAGGCAATAGTTCAAAGTTAGTAGGGGATGGAGTCAGTGTTCTCAGGGTGTTTTTGGTGACAGGAAGTGGGAAGTAGACACTCATTAGAAACTTAAAATATCCTTTGGGGAAAAAAAGCAAAGGAAGAGAATTGCATACAAACCAATCTCTAGTTCTTAGTCATGCTTTCATTGTGTCACAGCTGTCTTTTTACATGACTACCAAATATTTAATACAAGACCTGATTTAGTCACCACATTTTATTCTCCATTAATTCTGTTACTAGTTTTTAGATACTAGTTTTCTGTTACTAGTTTTCAGATTTGCCAATTTCCAGTCTTTTCTAAACCAGACCTCGTCTTTATTTTGTGTGTTTGTTTTCTAGGCATTCATTAATTTTTCTAAGTTCAGTGATGAGTAGTCCAGTTTTTCTCCTCAAATTCCTGAAAAATAAATTGTGTGTGCCCTTTGTGTGTCTGTGTTAGCAGAGGCAAGTCAATGCATTTGGGCAAAAGTATATAGTGGTTCCTTGTTCTACTTGTGTAGTAAGAACTCCTGTTTTATGCATGGAACAAAACTCTAGGCCAGAGTTTCTGGCCCAAGTCTCATAGAATCGTAGAATTATAGAATAGTTTGGGTGGGAGGGGACCTTTAAAGGTCATCTAGTCCAAGCCCCCTGCCACCTTCAGCTTCATGCCACACCTTCAACTGGATCAGATTGCTCATGGTCCTGGTGAACCTGACCTTGAATGTTTCCTGAGATGAGGCACCTGCCACCTCTCTGGGCAACCTGTGACAGTGCCTCACCACTCTCCTAGTAAAAAATTTCTTCTTTATAACTAATGTACATTGACATTCCTTTAGTTTAAAACCATTACCTCTTGTCCCATCACAAAAGGCCCTATGAAAAAGTGTGCCCTTGTAGTTCTTATAATCTCAACAAGTTATCTTTTACCCTCCTCTAGCCAGGCTACAGAGTTCCTTGAATAGCCCTTGAGGAAGATTCCTTGTCTTGTCTTGGCTTGTCACCTGCCTGTAAGAGTGAGGAATGAAGGGCAGGTCAGAGTGTTTCTGTGGTCAGTGTTTCTGCAGAGACACCCTGCCCTGTCCTGAGTAATAGAGGCTGTCAGCATTGCTACAAAAACATAACAGTATTTATGTTTGAGGCCAGGCCAGGAGGAAGACTCTCAGCTGACCATGAATTGTGAATTGTACATTGCTTTGGGCTGCTGCAGGGGCAGAGTTTTAAAACAATAAGGAACTCCTGATGCTCCTAATCAGGCACTTGTTGAGACAGTGCTGTGTAGCTGCTAAGTGCTCCAGGTACTTTCCTTTGCCAGCCAGGGCTCTTCCTGATAGTTAACTCTTCCCTTAGGACACTGTGGATGCTAAAAGTCTGCATAAGATTGCAGAACTGATTGGTTAAATTCAAGGAAAAAAAATCTTAGAAAGGGCTGTTAGATACAGCAGCAGTTCTTCTGATTCAGGAGCTGCCTTAGCATATTCCTGAGATCTGGGAGGGTCTTTGGGAACACCTCCCTCCAGACTTACCCTGTTCTTATGCTCTTTCATGGGCACCCATTTCTGGCCATGAAGGTCACATCTATAACCAGTGCCCATGGATGTGTCATGGGGACATGACTGCACCAGTAACCTGCTAGGATGGGCTCTGGCACACTTGTGTCCATGACAGGAGGCCAACAGAGCTTACTCAGAGATGAGCTGTCCCATACCAGCTGCTCCCAAAGCTTGGGAATGCTCCTATTCACAGTTCATGTGCTACAAGAGATGCTGATCATGGGAGACTGGACACTGGGCCAGGTAGACCTTTGATGTCACCTAACACAGACGTTTCTGGATCTTTTCCGTGCTTGATGTCAGCTCCACTGGCTACTTCTCGTGAAGGAGTTGATCCTCATGATCATCATTTGGGGACACTGCCTCTGCTTCACGTGCACACACCTTCCCTATTGCTGGCACTGAAGTCCTTACTGTCAGCCCAGATAAACTGGTAGCTGTGGGACCCTGAGCAACCCAGGGTAGGAAGGGGGGCTCTAGTACGTGTTCTTGACAGGGATATATGATGTACATGGACCATACTCAGTGTCCTTCTGCAGGGCAGGGCAGGGCAGTGCTCGATGCTTTTTCTTTTCCCAGGTGTGTGACACGGGACTAAGAATGTTCCTGCCTTTAGCAGGAGCAATCCCCCATGGATCACAGAGCCTCTCTCTCCCACTTGGTGGGTGGAGTGTGTCCCTCCTGCAGCACCACGAGCAGGGGAGGGACAGCAATGCTCCTGTGCCAGTGTGGGAGGTGCAGGAGTCACAGGAGAGAAGCATGAGAGTGAGTCAGAATTCTTCCTAGCACTGCAGGATCCTGTCCTGTGTGTGGCACCAAGATCTGGCTTGGGGTACCATCCCCTGCTGTCTGCTTGGCATACTTTCTGCCAGCCACAGAGCCAGGCACAGCTTTTTATGAATAATTCTAATTAGCAGTGTTTAATTGCGTCCTTACACTTTATACACAACACTTTGCATGTGCAGAAGACTGTTCAAGTATGAAGTGGTGCTACTAATACTTGTGGATTATTTTCTTTAAAGTTCACTGCAATCCACTTTTAAAAAAAATGAAGTAATTTCCCCAACCTTCCACTGCATTTATAGCCCAGATCACCCACTGTGAAAACTAAAATATGGAATTTGAAGACCAGAAGCTGGTCAGTCTGTTTTCATTAGCCAAGGTGCATGAAATATAAGGAGCAAATGCCATGTGCATGAGAGGGAAAATAAATTAGACTTACAGGGTGCTTTCAGTTCCAGTTTTTCACCAAGAAGAAGCCAAGAGAACATATTTTAAGCTCCCCTCCCCCACTTCTCCCCAAACACACAAAGACACATACAGTCTTCATGCTGACAGGACCCGTTTAAAGAATTACAGCTGACTCTTGATAATTCTCATTATGTTAATCCACAAACCTGTTAAGTCTCCCTATGAATGATAGTCTGTTCCCAGCTGTCAGCAAGGAATTAATAGCACTTTGCTGTACTCTGCTATGATGTGACTCAAGGTTTGGTTTCACGATTGCTTTAAGTTGATGGAAGCCTGTGCTGCCTCTGCCCTTCTCCTCCCCATAACCTGGCTGCCTCTCCTTGCACCATTTCTTGTCGTGGCCCCAGAACTTGGACTTTCAGGATCTGATCTGGAGAAGAAAAAATCATCAATCCAGCTGACAGAGGAGTTGCTTTGTCGCTCCTGCTGCGAGCCAGTGGAACTGTGGGACCACAGAGCCAAGGACAAGAAAGCAGGGTGGGATTGCTCCTGTTGGGAACAGCACATATTTAGATTTGTTTGTGAAAACGGATGCTTAGACATATTTACGTTAGGGAAATGTCCATGTGCCTCTGTGGGCATTAAGAGAGGTCAAGTCCAGCCAGACAGGCCAGCTTAGCAGCCCAGCTCTTCAGTCTGGAAAGCAGAGCAAGGCAGGGAGTGGTGGAAAGCAACAGTCATAAGTGGGATAACGTTGGTGAATATTTAATAACCATCTTTTCCACTGCAAAAATCAGAGGCAGGAAATGGAATCAGCAGATGTCAAGTTCAGAGCAGACAGGAATGGTATTTTGTTCACTCACTGGATAGCTCAGCTGTGGAACTCATTGCTACAGGATGCTGCAGATGACAAAAGTTGACTTGGATTCAGGAAGCAACGGTGCAAAGTAGTGTGAGAGAAATTCGTGGAGGGCTTATCAGATGTAGAAACAGCAATCAGACACAGGATATCCTATGACCTCTTGGTAGGCTAGGAGAACATTGCTAGACACTTATTCTAAGTATCTGCTATTGGCTGCTGTGATCATCTGGCTCTTACAATAGTATGAAAGCCCAGTTAGACTCAGGGCTTTTAGAAGTCAGGACATGGCAGCTCTGCTGCTAAAAGTCTGACTGTAGCTGTAAGATTTCCAGGCAGCAGGGTATTGACCGTGTTTGATTTGGGGAACTGCATTTAAGTTGCTCTGTGCTAGTGCAAGCTGCTTGATGGAGAGATCAGCACCATCCCACTCAGTCTCCAAGCACTGAGCAGATGGTGCTCTGCAGGGCTCACCAGTGGAGGAGTTGCAGCCACCCTCCTTCCACGCTGTGTGTCCCCCACTCCCAGGTACAGCTGTCCTCTCATCTGCCAGTGGTGCTGCTTCAGTGAATCCTCTCTGCAAAGCTGGAATTCAGAATGATGTGTCCCACCCTGGGATATCGCTGTTTGGAGGAATCACACGGGCTCTTGAAGGGCTGCTGGTTCCCGGCTGGCAGGGATGCTGACCCAATGCAGACACAGCAGTGCCTGGAGAAGGACCTCCACCACCCAGGACAGCCCAGGAAACTACATTAAAGAGTGAATATCTTGTTATGTGGTGAAACTGGCTGCAGCTGCACTGGGACTTTAGAGAGTAGTGCCATGTTAGGAGCTTTGCAGGTGCCAGTTCAGGACTCCCAGAGCTGCAAGGGAGGTGTCCTCACTGCCACCGCCCTTCTGCAAAAGCGGCTTTGATGCCAGGGCAGCTGCTTTCACAGGACTGGCAGAAGTAAAATAACCACTTGGCAGGGCTGTGCCATTCCATTAGTACCTCCCTGTCCACACAGGAGCACTTGGCTGTCATAAATACCAGTGAATGATCCCACACAGCCATGGCTCTCACAAGGGCCTGGGAAGACTTCCTGGGTGACAGGCAGTGACTGACTATGGAATTCATGTCTCTCCTCAAAAATGATTTCTCCACACTGCAGAAGCAGGGGACATTAATTTATGACCCAAAGTTTGTTTTTTCTCTACCAGGTTCTGGTTTTGGGAATACTTCAGTGACGAGCACTTCAGGGTGTGCAGCACCTTCCCGAGGTGGAGCCAGGGCAGGGGGTTTCTGACAAGACCACAGTGAGGGGAGGGAGCAGGTCATGACATCGATCCAATAATGATGGATTTGCAAACAGCAGTCTGAGGATGTAGATTCTAAGGGCTCTGCTCCATGATCTGAAGTGAAAACAATTAAATTACTGAAATACTGAAAACAGGAGGGGGTTGAGTGATTTTAAAATGTGCTCGAAAACATCTTGTCACTTCTCCTCTCAAGCCTGAAGAGAGAGTGGTTTTTGAGTGATGCTGTTCTTATAGCGGTGGGGACTTTGCATTTCCCCACACCCCTGGAATTAAATCCCTAGCTTGATTTCCAGGTTTTCCTGAGGTGTCAGGGGAGGTGGAGGAGGGTGGATGGGAGAGAAACACCTCCTGAGTCGATCAAAGTTCTTAAGAGGTTTGCTGAGGCCTGAGAAGCACTTTGGCTGCTGCCTTCCATCAGGTACAACTCAGGAGTCAGTGCTGGCAGCAGGGTGCCCGGCACAGGTGGGGTGCTGCAGTGCTGCACAGCAGGTCCCTGGCAGCAGCTTTGCACCCTCTTTGCTTTGGTGGAGCAGCATAAGTGGCTGCATGTGGACAAGGATTTCAGCACTCTCCTCAGTGTGGGGGCTCTGTGATCAGGTAAAATGTCCTCTTTCCCCATTCCTCCTGCATCTCCTCCAGTATGAGCAATTTATTCTTCTGAAAATGCACACTTCATTAACTCTGTGACCAAACAATCAGAGATCAGTGTGGGGTGAATCCTGGCAGAGCAGAAATGCCCAGGTTCAAAAGTGAGCCGTTTTACTTGATGTCAAGTCCCTTCCTCCTCCTCTTCTCTGTCTTTTTGCTGCCCTGCCCCTCTGTGCACACACACACTGGCACCAGCTGCAGAGCCAGTGGGATGCTTTGCATTCCTGGCAGAGAAAAAATACAGCAGCAGGTGAAAGGAAGCAAATACAGATCTGGCACTGTCCCTTGCCAAGCTGCTCTGTAAGAGCTCCTGTAAAAACAGACCTGCCTGTCTGGTTCCTGAACCACTGCAAACTGCTATTTTCAGTGTATCAGTTGAGAATTAACCCACGTCTGCAGAAGGGTTAAGGATTTCAGTTTTAAGGGGAGAGGCTGGGGGCTGAAGCAGCAGGCAGAGTCAAGTCTGGGCTGTGTTCAGAAAAGCACACACAGCAAAGAACTCTTTGTGGGTTTTGCTGATCCTCCCACATTTGCACAAGGATAGATACAGCCCTGTCCAGAGGCAGCCCTAGCTTTGCACACATGCAGGTGTAGCTGCCTGGTAAAATGGGGTTTGTCCTGGCTTTACAATTCACCTCTGCACTGCTACACTCCGAATTTCATGCTGTGGCAGTGATGATGCCTTCTTCTGTCTCCTTTCCCAGGCCGGCCCTGTGTCGACTGCCATGCGTTCGAGTTCATGCAGAGGGCGTTGCAGGATCTGAAGAAGACGGCGTATAACCTAGACACGCGGGTATGTGTTCCTGCAGAAAGGCTTCCACTTGGCCTTTATCTCCCAGCGGCCAGGTTTGCCTGTCTGTGTGCAGCAGACATGACATCTCTGCTGACTCACTCCCATCTCAGCAAATAGGTTTATACCAAGCACAGATTATTTTTCGCAGTCTGCAGCGGTTCATTAACAATGATCTAGTCTGACTGCTTGCATAACAGGCTAAAGAATTACCTCAGACAGTCCCTGCACCAAATAGAGAAGGAAAGATGTATGAAGGAGAGAAGAACAAGAATTTACTCTTTGCCTCACAACATCGCTTCTGAGCTGTGGACTGACTAGTCACTTGGCAGGAGCACAAAGTGAACAGGAGAGCGAGAAGGTGGCAGGCAGGGCTGGCAGAGGAAAGGGAAGCCCATGTACTCCTCGCTCATGGATCGAGACTCCATGAAAAAGGGGAAAGCACATTTGCTCAGGTGTTTGTGACAGCACACAGGGCGTTCTGCCACTTCACGTGCCAGTCTTGTGGTGCAGGTCTCAATGAACAAAATGAGGTTGTGTAAAGTGCCTTGATTTTAGCAATTCGTACATGTGTGGGTTCATAACTATGCACAAAATGACTGGGCTAGGAGTTACCACGGTGGCTCCCATGCTATCTGAAGCTTGCAAGAGGCAGGAGGTCTCTCACCTGTAAATAAAGTTCCTTCATGCATGTCTTGTCCTACCTCTCCTCCCCTAACAGCTCCATGACCACAAGGCGACTTGTGGTGAGTGAAACCAGTTCACAGCTACATCTCCCAGTTCCTTTAGGAGCCTGCCCAGTGCCTTTGAGCAGGGCCATCTCTGCTGGCAGATGAGAAGGGCTCCTTGCTCCTCTAAAATCACACTCAGCTCAAATTGTCATTCACAGTAGAGCCACACCAAAGGGATAATAAATCAATTAGGTGTCTCAAACCGTAACACAGAAGGGCAATTATGTTGCTTTGCCTCTGGTTTCCTGTGACCTGGCAATCATGTTGGGCCCTACACAATAAGGTTGGAGTGACTGTAGCTTTCCTGAGCTATCAATAGCCAAGTGATTAGGACAGAGCTCCGAGTGTGGGTTACATTCCAAAAGTTTCCCATGCACAAGTGTAATAATAAATAACTCGTAATTGGTAAAGTGTCAGTAGAGGGGCTTTACCTCCAGCAGCTGTGCTGGGCTGTTCTGGTGCATAGCAGGGTTCCACCTGTTTGGATTAGGTTCAGCTGAAATGTTCTGTACCTACATGTGACATGTCAAGACCAGGTGCAGTTGCAGCTGTGCTGGTTCTTTTACAGTCGACAGGCTTTACGTGGGAAGTTAAAGATTTTTTTTTTATTCAATAGAGGCAGCACAGTTCCTCAATCCCACTCCTAGAGATATTCAGATGTGTCTGTGAGGTCTATTGTTTCTGGAGAGTGGAGCAAGAATACATTCCTTCAGAGAGCAGCGCTGACTTGTAAGAAGTGAATCAGAATATAAAGGGAGAAGCTGATCCCAGAGCACCACAAGATAAGCTTCTGTTTCTATGAGGAGCTGGACAGGCCTGACGTGCCAAGGCACTAATTCAGGCAGCTACCAGTATTACAGAGCAGGGGACATAGGAACAGTGCATCACCAAAACAGACATAACCAGTAGTTTGTAATATCACCCACCCTTTGACAACTGTCAGAGTTTTAGTACTTCCAGTAAACAGAGGGAATATTACTGTACACCTTTCCCAGCCTTTGGTGTGAGACTCCAGAGGGCTTTCTGGAAGAGATGCTTTAGTTAGATACAAGTTATTGAATGACGCAGGCATACTAAAGTGAAATACAGCAGGCAAGGCCCTACAGATCTGTGACCTTCTATTCTCTGAAAGGTAGACCCTCCATATCCTTACTCCACCACCAGAGCTTGGCTCACGATGACTAACTATAATTTCTCAAGTTTTATACACAAATAACTTCATTCAATAACTCCTCAGTGTTGGAAATTGTTTTTAGAAGGGCAAGCCCAATGCAGGACTGCTCCTGCACATCATTCCTCAGCCAATGCCATCAAGGCCACAATTAAATCTTGTAATTGGTACTTCTCTTTCACAGTTCTTTCAGTGTACAATTGTGTGCTTCCAGAGCTGCTCTTCCTGCCTGTAAATAGTCCTGAGTGACGCCCAGGCAGGGGTTGTGGTAGCAGTGACAGCTTTATGGCATTACTGTGAAATCCAATAAGCCTGTTTGATGTTAAGATGATTCTATGATTTCTCCTGGGCTCCCAACAATGAGAGCATTCACTCATCCAAGATTCCATTGCAGGAGCAGGGAGCAGTGTTTAAAAATGCCTGCCATGGCACTAAGCTGATAAGTGAAAGCAGACAAGGAACATGAACAAGTCCTCTTTAATGCAAAGGTGGATGTCAAAAGTTTGAGTTGAAAAGGATAGAGGGCTGTGGAGGAAAAAGAAAGCAATTTGAAACAGCCTCTCCCTGCACAAGCTTGCAGTCCAAGAACAAGAAATGGGTAGTAGAGACAGGACACTGCTGGGGAACAGAGGCTACTGCTGGTCAGGCAGAGGCAAGGCTTGGTGGAGCAGGACTCATGTAGGAGTGCCCAGCTATTCCTTTGGAAACTGTCTTTCTTAATTAGCCCTTTGCTGTGTCTAATTTATCAGGACTTACCTGGTCAGAGGCACACCAGCAGCCTGAAAACCTTGTTGTTTCAAGAGCTTTGAGATAATTTGTTCACAAGTGGTTTTCAACCTTTAATGGGTTTTTGCAGTGCAGATGGGAAACCCATTCACTGCAAATTCAAGCCCACTACATTTTTTTCTTTTCCCCTCAAGAAACTCTTCAAAGTCAGTCTGCAAACTGCTTAAGGGACCGCAGACCACACGGTGAAAACCACAAGATATGCTCAGGAGGAAGGTTCTCCTCAGTCACAATTGCACTTGTGATGTGAATTGCTTGCATCAAAAATTTTGAGTCTCACAGGAAACTCAGCTTCTGAAATGATGGTGCCATTTGAGAAATTCAGCCTTTTTTTTTCTCAAAAAAGTGAGACTAGATCCCACAAAATACTTGTTATTTGATCACAGCTGAATAAATTATACTTAAATATCTTTGAAGATGTAAAGTTATTTTCACCCACCCTGGATTCAGAGAAAAAAAGCCTGGAGATGCTTTTCCACTAAGGCATTCCAAAAAACAACAGCAAGTAATTTTAAACTGTGTACATAGAGAATGGTTTTTAAGCTTTTGGCTGAGTTCTGGGAGCATAGCTCCAAATGGAGTTAGTAATAAGGCAATTGTCAGCAAATTAACTCAGGTTAATATAGGAACCACATACTCAAGTCTGGATCTGCCCTGAAAGATTACGGATTTCAGACAACAAGGTCAGACTGACAGCTGGATTGAACTCAGAGTTATTCTAGAGAACCAGCGGTGTAACTGAAAGCACAACTGGCACCTCAGCACATGCTGTCTGGTGCAATTAAATTACACAGTACTGAAGGCATCGTCAACAGGAAGCCATCAATCACCACGAAGGAATTAAAACCAGTGCAGTCAAAAGTGGAATTTTACTTAGCATTTCTAAGGGACATTTTAATAATTTTGACAACCTACTCCCTAGAAGTTAACCGTGAAAATGGAAACATTCAAACTATAAAAATACCCTCCCTGCATCTCAGTTCTGAATACACTTATTTCATCATTTTTTCTGGATGAAAACCAGCACTAATAACTATGATTTTTCACTCAGCAAAGCACCTTGGCTGCAGCTGTGCAGAGGGATTAGATCTAATCAATTATATACTCTTTTAAAGTGATATATTTAGTTCTTTGATTTCATGATTTTTTTTTTTTTTTCCCCAGACAGAAACCCTCCTCCTGAGAGCGGAAAAGAGAGGCCTGTGTGATTGCTTTCACGCAATACACTGAAATGAGCACTGGGATTTGGCCAATGGACATTTATTCATTTTTAAAATGCTGTTCAATAAATTACAGGAAGATACAGAGTGCAAATTTTGCCACACCAAAAGGAAAACCATTTTTATCAAAACAGGTATAGCTCAGTTGAATCATTTTTGCTTTAATGTGGTTTATCATTACTGTATCTGATATTGAATCTGCTGAAATGTCAACAGAAGAAACAGTGCCAAAGTCTCACTCACGGTTTTTATGCAAGGATAGTATCCTGCTTTTTTGGTTTTTCAAGCCAAAAATTTTCCTTGGACTCTCAGGCCAACTCCTTGACTCATGTGGATTGCCGTAGACCTGTGAAAGTCAGTGGAGTCAAATTCTTTAATGTATTTATGGAAGAATAACATGAAAAGGAAGCTACTTTGCCACGGTGCATAGCTAAACATTTACAAACAGTCAGACTTAGCTTTATATAGAAATTAATAGTTGTCAGTGAGTGGTTGGCAGTCCAAGGAAGGGATTTGTTCCCAATCGTATCAATAGTCCAGTGCATGGCAAACACAGTAATATGCCTCACAATTTTAATTTCTTCAGAGCCACACAGTAGCTGTGATCTTTTTGGAGAGATTTATTAAGTATCTAATGTGATCAGTAACATTTGTAATCACATGAATACTGCCTGGCAATTGAACTGATTGTGTCTGCCAAAATCTTCTGGAGAAGTGTCTTTCATTAAGCAAATCACATGCTGGATTGAACCACTCAAACTGGCCTCTACAGAGAGTTTTGGCAGAGAGCCTACACAATGCCTGCCTGCCCAGGAGTCTCTTGCAAACTGTACTTTGGGAATTATTCAAATTCTACCAAAATGCTCCGTAGCTCTTGCATGGACTCTACGCTCCATCACGGTGGGTTACAGTGCTGATGCTATTAATATTCCTGCTGGAGTCAGTGTGAGACAAGAGAGAGCAAAACAATTTAAGCAGTGTAATAGTAGTAGATGACAAGATTGTGCCTTGTTACTCTTCAAAAAAGAATAACAAGTCCTTTCTCATTGTTTCCCTTTTTCCCTTTGCTTTTTGGAGGAGAGCAGGAAATGGCCAAGTGGAAAGTTCTTATTGGCAATTATAGATTTTTGATAGGGCTTAATATAACATACCCAAAGTAAAGATTTATGTGTCTGCTCAAGCATCAATGTACAGGCTAGAAACTTTTATACAGACACGACAAGAACGGTTTTCAAAGTCATTTTGCTAATTATTAGTATGTCTATCTTCCCATGAGTGGCTGATATTTTTGATTTTTTCCTCTCAGCCTGATCATGCTATCTGCATGTTTCCAAACTTCTCTCCCATTTTATCTACAACATTAGGCACAGGGAAATAGGGAACTGTGATCCACTGACAACGTATTATTTTGTGTGCAGTCATACTCCATAACACAGGAGTTTATTACAACATAAAGGAGTGTATTACAACATAATTTGCCAAAGTTGTTTGAAAGGCATGTGGTTTTCAGCTTCCTTGCACGTGGATTTCAAAGAGAAAATTTGCTTTGTCATTCGTAGTATTCTAGTAAAGCCTTTTGTAGGTCATCAGGGGCTGGGCTGTGTACAAGAGAATCAGCATGACACAGCAACACATCTCTTCTGGTGGCATTGCACTCCACTGTGGCACTGACTGATGGGAAGCAATAGAGATTCTTATCATAGACCATATTTTATTGTACAAATAAAACAATAGATTTAACACTTTTTTTTTTTTTTTTTTTGCAAAATACCAACCTTACGTCACTTTACTCCCACTTAAATTTGAGCCCAAGTAATGCACAGCTTTTGAGTTGGCTTTTTGCAGGAGATGGAGTTCCAGCACTGAACCTGTGAATCTTCCAGCACAGCTCACCTTTTTTGGGAGGGCAGCATGTCTGTGGTTTGGTATTGCTGTTCTGCATGTTTATTCTGCTGGTACCCTAAAGAACCTTGCAAAGTCCTGTTAACAAGCACTGGGGGTTTTGTCTGTGTTTTTATTTAGAAAAACGGTTGCTCACAGTTGAGTTTTCATATATACAGCTTGTCACAATAAAAAGGTGGAAAGAGTGTCAAGTGGATGTTCTCGGACTTCCAAAGGGATCAGAGTGACTCTGCAACTTTATGGTTGTGACAGGAGTGGTTATTCTGTATGTACTCCTCTTTGTCTATAATACAATACAATAAAAGGGCAAGATGCATTATAGCATTTGGTGTGCTTCATTACTAATTTGAAAAAAATTATAGTGCTTATGCAATAATAAATATCTGGTCTTTAATTAGGTGGAAAATCCACAGAGAAAAAAAATGCTATTTAGAATACAAAAATAAAGACATCTTGTATTTGGACCAAATTTAGTAATGTATAGTAAAGTATAAAATCAAACTCAGTCTTATTTGAAGTTGAAAGTACTGCAATGATTTTTGTGAGCTTTTTAAAGGACCCCATACTCTGTATTTGATGACTGTGGTAATAAAGTTCCTTATAATTTCTGGATAGCATGAAGAAGAAAATGGCGCTAGATAGTTTTAATTTATTGTTGCTCATGAAGTTAATTTAAACTCAGAACCCCCTTGAGTCTCCACTTACTAGAAGAAACTGTGTATTTTGCCAAAGGATTTAATTGCAGGAGGCCTTAAAGCAGAAATTCTGCTTTCCCATACAACACTTCCAGCACTGATCAGCTGTGAAGCCAAGGCATTTCTCATGACCTTTTGAAACCAAGCTGTGTCTTCCTTTCTTTTGGTGCAGCCCTGGGCAAGTGGCATTTGTACACACGGTGGAGTGCAGGTGGTAACCTGTAAAATGCACAGCCAAGTCCCCCCTGTAAGAGAAATGGTGTAATCACGATAACCATTAGCTTGGTGCTGTCCCTGCATAGCCAAGGTGATGGAGAAATCCTGGTAATGACTCCCACATCTCCAGAGCTTCTCATACCTGAGCCAGTACCTTCTTTGGGTGTAATTCTTTGTGTATTCCAGATCAGTAATTTTGAGCTGAGTCTCAGGACAACTCTCTGAAGACATTGCTGAATTTCATTCTGAAAAATGGGGACACGGTTCATTTTGCTAGCAATGAAAAATCCTGATAAGTAACATCAAAGATCAGGAATGTTATTATTAGCTGAATCTAGTTAGTGAATAGACTGTGTGGAATACTCTTGAAGTCCCATGGAACACCCTTTCCAGATGGAAATCTCATATTTAAAAGCCAATTACGCCTTTGTACTCAGAACTAGTCTGTAGGTAACTCCTGGATGATCTGAGTACCCAATATGCATTCCCCGTTTTCTGAGCAATAGTTGCAGAGTGTGTAGGTAGTTCCTTCAAGAGTGACCATGTGGTTTCTGTGCCCTCTTCTTCACCTGCCCTAGGCTGGTACCCAGAGACAAGACCTCCTCCTGGAGCAGTGGGTCTAATGGAGGGGGCTGATGGGGGCTGTTTGCTGCCAGCAGGCAGATCTCACCCTGAAGAGAGAAAGCGCTTGCTGAGCTGAAGGAGGCCAACAGGAATTCCAGTTTAGTTCAAAGGTAACTTAAGAGCAGGAAAGCTCTGAGGCTGCTGTGCCTTTTGTGAGGCAGAGAAGCATAGGGGATGTTTTCTCTTTGGAACCAGTCCAAGGCAGAAAGTTTGCCTTTGCCTCTCTTGGCAGACAGAGACCCCCTTGCCTAAAACAATGTTCTTCTTAGTCCTTCCCTGGCCACAACTCAGTGAGTGAGAGAGAAGGGGAGCAAGTGTGGAAGAGGAAAGAGACACCTTCCTTCTGCGGCCTGGCTGAGCTCCTGGCAAATCAGTGCTCCTGACCGAGAAACCAGAGCTGCAGCCTAAGGATTTATGTGCTGTGTGTGGCAAGCAGAGGCTGCAATCACTCTGAATGAGGGCAGTGCTGCAGACAAAGCCAGCACAGCGGTACCAGAGGCAGGATTTGAAAAGGGGAGCACAGAGATACCGCGTGCACTGGTGCAAAAGAACCTGCTTTTGACAGATGTACAGTGAAATGCAGATGGAAGAGCTGGTTGTGAATAGCCCCTGTGTTCCCCAGCTGAAGCTGTGCAGAAGTCTCAGGGAGGCCTTTGTGCTGCACTTATTCCCAAAGAAAATATGGAAGAGCCAGAAGCATCTTCTGCAAACTGGTACTTGCTGATTTGAAAATTAAGGGGAAATTAATTTGCAGGTGCTTTTACTAGCTAAGGAGAAAGGCAGCCCTCACTTAAAGAGTGTTCTTGGCAGCAAAAATGAAATAACAGTGGAAAACTAATATAAATTGCAAGTGTATATATATGTATGTATAATAGGCATATATGTATAAAATATTTAGCCTCATTTTTGATCCATTAAACATTTTTAATAAATAATTTCTGACTACAATGGATGAAGCAGGATGGGCCTATCTGCTAAACTTCTGAAAAGTCACTGTGATTTTCCAGTGTCTGATTCTGGCTCTACCTTGAACAGGCCTTGGGGCTCTGTTCAGAACATGCACTCAGATTCTGCATATGGGCAAAGGAAGGAATTTTCCCCCATGTGCTTATGATAGTTTGTTGACTGCTGGAGAAGGATCCCACACTGGAAGGGCCTTTGGTCCAATGGGGACAAGCTTATACGCTCATTTAATGTTTTCTATGCATGTGGTTAGAAACAAGTTGAAGTTACCAACTTCCTGAACTCCAAGGGAAGGAATGAAAAACACCAGGTGGCTGTTAAAAAATCATTTAATCACTGTCATCCTTATTGAGGAGACTGGAGCACATGGTAGACTTCACAGGAGCCCACTTGCCTCAAGCCTCTCTCACTTGCTCCATCCCTGAGTTATCTCTAGCAGATAAAAAAGAATTAACACTGATGATGCTCATAAATGTCCATTATTAAAGCTCCAGTTCACTACATCCATCATGTTTCCCATGCAGTAGCTCTTTGCAGAGAAGCGCAGTAAATTATGAACCTTTTATTCAGCCTGGCTTGTCTCAATGCATACTTTGGACTCTGCATCATGTTTCTTCTATTCATGCTGAAATCATTATCAGAACTGTTTCTCAACACTGAGGCCCAAATTCTACCCTTTTATGCCCACATAGCAATCTTCATCGCCTCACTGGAAACCACAAGAGGTAAACCAAGCCTGTTTTGCACTAACAAAATGCTTTGTTTAATCTGCATGTCTAAAATAACTGCCTTTCAGATTTCCTACAATTCCCTTACTATGCTGTAGAAACTTTTCCTGGAGACAGCAAAGCCCCTGTGCCCTATCCCTAGAAATGCAGAACAGGAGGCTGAGTGCTAGAACAAAGTTGATCCTATAAATTTTGCTTCTCAAGGTGATCCTAAAAGCATTAAGGTACTAAGGATAGATGGTGCCTGCAGTGCTGATTACTGAATATATCTGGTTTTTCTAACAGTTGGTTTTACTGGTCTGTACATTATAGATGGGGACAGAACGACACATCTCAGCAGGATGGATTCTCTTTACATCAGATGTCATTCCATATGAATAAATTAAAAAGGTGAGGTAAAAATATGGATCTACACTATTTTTTTTTCCAGAGACACGATAAGGATAACAAGTCTGTCTTCCCCGATGTTTAATTCCTTTTCTTTTTAATTGCTTAAGAAGCTGTGCCTGTATTTCTCTACTTAAGGTGTGCGTGGGAGTTGAATGTACAGCAGACTGCAAAGCATGTAAAGCTCATCAGTAGCAGTTAAGTATAGTATAGCCTGAAGAGGAATTTGGAGAGCAGAAATTCTGGAGCCTTGATAAGGTTTTGCCACTCCTGTGTTTTGAGGTACAGGCCATGTTTCCTTTGCCATCTCTGTCCTCCACGTTTGTCAGTGGGGAAATACTCTTTTCATGAGAAAAATGCAGACCACTGTGTCTCACTTGGGGATGTATTAAAAGCAAACATGTAATTTGAGTATGAAAATAGAAAAATCCTGGAGCTACAGTTGTTTTAAGGTGAAATCAGTAGAATCATAGCTCTGTCTAGTCTATAGTCCAGTATGACTTCTAATATCAGAGATAGAAAAAATTACTATTTGTCTAATTTTTGCCTGTTTAGCTAACATTTGGATAATTATACAGGAAATAAAGAGGTAAATGTTATATATTTGTGTCATTTTATAAAATCACTGATTTTCCTGCTTGGAAACTAATGAAAAACTTTATTTCAAATTCTGGTCCACATTTCTAATGCATCTTCCTGAACTATGCTTCTTATATTTCCTTTCCCAAGCAACCACATTAGGAAGATTCAATACCAAGGTGTGCAACAGCAAGGGAATACCAAGGTTATTCTGTGAACATTCACAAAGGAGGACAAAGGGGAGGGTTATAAATTTCTGTCCAGAGACCTTACGTATCTAAATAGACTGTTGTGTATTGCCTGCGACAGAAAAGTACTCCATGCCCAATAACACATTGAATAATTGTGATTTTGAATTTGTGAAAGAATTCAGAAGAATGGATTCTAGGGACAGCAGAATACTTCATTGTTGCGCAAGAAAAACCCCACAACAAAAGCCAAGGAGAAGTGGCAAAATTTAAAACCTTCTTCATTGCAAATAATCGACTATTTCCCATACTTACAGTTATATAACTGAAACAAACAACTTTACTGCAATGTAGTTTGGGTTAGTCTCACTAAAAAGGTTGTTGAGATGATCTGGATCTGGATCTGAATGAATTCCCTCAATGGATTTAACAAGTGTTGGACCGTGGCTAGGTCTCTCACAGCAAGTGCAAACATGCAACAGTTGGAGAAAAAAAGAAAAACTGAACTGGTAGCAAAAGGCTGGGAAGACAAATACGATAAACTTGGGAAAAATGCATTTAGCTGTTTTCCATTTGACATGAGGTCTGATTTACACCGTGTCCATTTAAAATTTTAATTGCACGTGGCATATCAGCAAGTTTTCTGTATTGCCTCCTCAAGATCAGTGCTGAGAGCAGAATGGAAGCTTTGGACAAATTTTATTAGAGAAACCCTCCTGTTGAGTCACGAGGTGCAGAAAGGACCCCCTTGCTTTCTAAACTCCTTCTCAGAGAGGAGTCTAGATGTGACTGGATCCAGTCTTAAACCCAGACTGAATCAATGGTCTGTGTTTAAAGGGTTATATAGATGCAACTGAATCTTTGTACTGCTTTGTCCCGTGGTATTAAGGGTGGCAAATCAAATATATTTATACGAATATAATAAATTATTTATTTTATGGG